ATTCACTGTCCAGCTTTCACATGCATATGAGGTTATTGAAAATACCATGGCTTGGGTCAGGTGCACCTTAGTGCTCAAGCTGGCACCTTTGCTTTTCAACACTTTAAAAAGGTCTTGTGCAGTAGATTTGCCTAATGCAGTCGTCGTTTGATTTCTTGACTGCTGCTTCCATGAGTGTTGATATTTGATCCAAGAAGAATGAAGTCCTTGAGAACTTCAATCTTTTCTCTGTTGATAAGAATGTTGTTTATGGGTCCAGTGGTGAGGATTTTTGTTTTCTTTACATTGAGATGTAATCCATACCAAAGGCTGTGCTCTTTGATCATGCCTTTAAAGCACCCCATTTTTGGTAGCCATTGCCTAAGTTGCTCATCCTTATCAACCCTATATATTGAAGGGATAGGCTTGATCCTTGATGTGGAGACTACTGGGTGTTAGGGTTTTCTTAAGAAAATCCATGACAGCATGAGTTTACTTGCTCTCTTCTTAATGTCTTCCCCTTTTCTCTTCCTTTATGGCTCTTCTTTTTACCATCACTCCTTCCTTTCCTTTCCTTTTTTTTTTTTTAATGTTTTATGTGAATTATGTGAGAACATTAGCTTTACATTCATCCTATCATATATCGTTACATTGCCATGGTTACAGTCCCCTCCATGCATCATCAACCAACCAAATGTTACACCCTGCAAGTCTGCCCCATGGTCGTTAGCACACAGCCCCTCTCCCTCTCTGGGTCTAGAGTCCCCGGCCGCTCCATCTCTGTATGCCGTTGTCTCTGCCCCCATCTCTGGTGTCACTGTTTCTCTGGGTAGGGTCCCACACTCTTGTTCTTCTCTCTTGACGGTCCCAGGGCCCTCTGTTCCTGGACTGCAAAGTTCATTTCCTTGTAAGTTTTCTTTTGGCAGAATGGCTCTGTGTAGAATACATTTTATTTCTTTGTGGAAAAAAGAACATGAGCATTTGTGGGAAGGGCCAGAGCCCCCACACCCCTTTAGTGTCTTTGGCTGTGTCCCTCCTTATCTGTGGCAGTGCTCATCAGTTTTTTGTGTTAGGCTAAATGGACTCAGCGATCAATGTATGTGATATTAGGTCATGGAGCTGTTCTGCTGCTTTATGCATTCTGAGTGCCGATGTATACTCTATCTCTGTTTGTTATCGGTTCCACTCTTGGTGCCCCAGTACATCTGTGAAGACCATAGATTTGTTTCCCTTTCCTGTCCTTGTTTGAGCAACATTGGACTTCCATGTCTCCTGCTTTCTCACCCTTCCTTGTTTACTTCTTGCCCTTCTTAGTCATAACTGCTCAAGAAGATTCTCCCTGATTAAATGAAGTGGATGTAGAAGAATAATTATCAAGCTGCCATTTTGATGTTTCATCTCTTGTGAATCTTGGAACCAATAAAACAGCAAAGGTTGGTATATTAGAATCTTGAAAGTACCATAGACTGCCAAAAGAACAAATCGATCTGTGTTGGATGAACTACAGCCAGAGTGCTCCTTGGAAGTCAGGATGGCCAAACTTCGTCTTTCATACTTCGGACACGTTGTCAGAAGGGACCAGTCATTGGAGAAGGATATCATGTTTGGTAAAGTGGATGGTCAGAGAAAAAGATGAGATGGATTGGCACAGTGGCATCATCACTGGGCTCAAACGTAGCAACCAGGCAGTGTTTTGTTCTGTTGTGCATAGGATTGCTATGAGTTGGTACTGACTTGATGGCACCTAACAACAACAAGAAATAAGACCAACCCTAGAATGTAAAGATTCCTTTTTTCTCTTATAGTCCTTTACAGTCTGAGGAAATAGAAGACTTTAGGAAGTGTCAGCTGCTTTGTTGGCCTTATTGTTGTTATGTGTCAGTTCTAACTCATAGCGACTTTATATAGGGTTTCCAAGGAGTGGCTGGTGGGTTTGAGCCACCAACCTGTGGTTAGCAGTCCAGGGAAGCTGCTAGGCGTTTTGAAAGAAAATGAGATCTTAAGACCAAATGGTAGTTTTGGATATGTTTGAATGAAAACAAAGTAGACTGGATGGTTTTAAGAAGTATTCTTATTACTCTTTAGAGTCTCTTTTCCTCTTTTATTAGTATCATCCATGCCCGTAGCCACACTAGTGAATTTATGCAATCATTCTAAAATCTGGTTACAGACAAGTTGGATAACAGAAAAAAAAAAACATTTGACTTCCTCTTCCTCTGTGTCAGATTAAGTCCTAGAGTCATGGAGGAGTCGCATCTTAGTCTGCCTGGGACATTTTGTTACCCTGTGTTTCATTATGGGTGCCACTTTTTTAATCTTAAAAGTGACCCAGTTGGAAGATAAAGTATATAGTGATTCTAATTATGTCGCACATAAGGAAGAGGTGACTAGGATGTCTCTAAAGAGGATACGGTATATCATGTGTGATCACGAATAGTCTTAGTCTGATTGATTAAAACATCAAGGATTTTCTGAGTAGAATTCCAGCAGAGCAGTTGACTCCAGATAAATGTTAAAGACTGCCTGTGACCTCACTATCAGAAAGGACATTTTAAAACTTAGCATGCTTTGTTACACTCAAGTGAGATGATGCCAAGCAAGAGAGGCTAGAGGAAGGCTAAAGATATGAGACGCACTTGACAGCAGTTGTTCATTTTTGTACTGTTTTGTTCAACTTCTGTACAGTTACAAATTGAAATAAGTACTTAACAGCACAACAGTACACCCATTTGTATAATCCATTGAGCAGTTGCATCATTGATCAGTTTCTGAAGATATTTCTAATTCTAGGGTTATGTTTGAAACTTTTGAGAATGACTCTAAATACGTCTTTGCCCCTGTCTATTTTTCATCTTGTAGGTAGGGTTTAAGACATTTACATATTGTAATGGTTGTTTATTAAAGACCAGCACTATGGAATAAGCTAGGGAATTTTATACATATTGGTGCTTATTAATATCTGTGCACAAAAGTGTCCATTTGTAAAGACTGGATTTCATAGAAATAAATGAGAATGTTCTTGGCTCCTTGCTTATTAACCAATTAATCTTAGAAAGTCACTTCTCCAGAAAACGATATTCTTTATTCTTTATCTCAGTTAGCCACTACAGTTAGTGTCTCCCTGTCTCCGAGCACCCAAAAGTCTTCATGAGCTTCTCTGACATACAAGCTTTTCATGCCTTTAGATCACCAGCCATTTCAAGAATAGATCTTGATCACCAATTGAGCAACCATGAAGCCAAATGCCCCTCTCATTGTCCTTCTTAGGTTATCTGTTTATCAGTTTTGATCTTCAAATGCATCAGAATGCATGCTTTCTTTCTAGGATGCAAAATTCTTCTAAGATTCAGAATAAATCCATAACAATTATAAAGGTATCCTGTAGAGAAGCCATAACACATAAATGTTTGATTAGATTCCATTCAGATTTTGGAGGCTGATTTGCAAAGGAAAAACGTGTGTGTGAAGACATATAGAAGTCAGTTTGTGTATTCAAGCTTAGTATTCGGAGCTCCTCATATCTTGGATCTTCTTATATCTTGGAGCTCCTCATATCTTGGATCTTCTTATATCTTGGAGCTCCTCATATCTTGGATTTCCATTGCTTGGATGTTTGAAACACCTTTGCTTTAGTGGAAAAATTTTTCGTTTTGTGGAAAATCAGAGTAGAAAAATGATGGGCTAACATTAAAAGGGCAACACATTCAAGGGGGTTTACAATCTGTTAATATCCAAGGTAATAGGGGTATGGGGATGAATCCTTCTATGAATCAGATTACATTTACACAGTATTTGTTGATTTGTCTCTTACCTTAACAAATATCTTTCTCAAGGATTTCTGTTTATTGGTTACCAGAGTAACTAAGAGTCCTGGTGTGGCACTGTAAGATAAGCACTAGACTGCTGATTGCAAGGGTAGAACTCCTTGAAAACTCTATACAGGGTTGCTGTGAGTCAGAACTGACTTGATGGCACTGTAACAGCAGAGTATTAATAAAATCTTACCATCTTAATGGGAAGATCATTCAAATAGCACTTTCTGGCATATAGTGGTATGTTGTTAAGTGCCATTGAGTCAGTTCTGACTCATAACAACCCTTGTATAGTGTTTCTGAGGAGCAGCTAGTGGGTTTGAACTGATGACCTTGTGGTTCGCATTTTAGTGTTGATCATACAGAACCACACCAGAGACCTCCTAGTATAAGTACTAGGTGCAGTAGGATAAGCACTGGACTGCAGTGTTGGAAATTCAAACCCACCAGTTGCTCTTTGGAAACCCTATACAGGGTTGCTGTGAGTCAGAACCAAATCGGCTATGCTTAACAACAACAACAACAACAACAACCAATGATTACGTTAATTTGGGAATGTTGGTAGGATTCTGCAATGGATTTGTTGTTAGTAAAAGGAGCTAGTGATAACTATTTCAATCCTTTCCTTTTTCCTTTAGGTACAAAGCTAAGAGTGGAAACCATCTTCACTTTACCCAAGATTCTATCTTTTCTCCTGGTGAATTCTTGATGGATTTGACTCTTTGTTTTTGGCAACTCCCGGGCAGAAGAAATGGTGACATTCACGCTGGATCTTGGAAGTCATGCTTATCATCCGTTAAAGAAGAGGAGCTTTTTGCTATTGAAACTTTTTGCTATTGTCTTTGCTGTGCTCCTTTTTTGTGAATTTTTAATCTATTACTTAGTGATCTTCCAGTGTAACTGGCCTGAGGTGAAAACCCCAGCCCATGGCAGGGCTCAGGGGAGTCCTGAGCCTGTGCTCAAAGCCATGTTCTTGGCGGATACCCACTTGCTCGGGGAAGTAAGAGGCCATTGGCTGGATAAGTTACGAAGGTGGGTACTAAAACCACGAATTCTCTTACAGGTCAGCTCAATGACTTCAGGTTTGTTTTTGTTAAGTACAGTGGAGTTGATTCTGACTCATAGTGACCCTGTATAGGATTTTCCAGGAGCAGCTGGTGAGCTTGAACCTCCAACCTTTCAGTTCAAACCAACATTACAGTGCAGCACATTAACCTGCAGCAACACACTTCAGGTGGTGATTATATGCCATGGAGTCAGTTTTCAACTCGTAACAACCCTGTACAGGGTTTCTGAGGCTCTAAATCTTTACAGGAGCAGAAAGCCTCATCTTTCTCTTGAGGAACAGCTGGTAGTTTGGAACTGCTGACCTTGAGGTTATCAGCACGATTGGTAATCTTTTGTTATTTCCCTCTCACAGAAGGATATTTGGAGTATTTGATTTTTCCTTGAACTTACTATACTACAGCTTTGTGACTCTGAACCCTCTAGGGTCCCTCTGAGCCTCGGCCTCCTTGTGTGGGGAATATACCCAACAAAGTGGTTTTCAGTGAAAGTGTGCCCTACTCCCCTGGGCAAGGGCAGACAGCCCTTCTCATTTTCACTGGGGTGCAGTTTTGAGCCCACCTGATTTTGCCTTCTAGGTGGGGAATTGTGGCTTGAACACTGGGCATGGGCCAGGTCCTGTTTCTCCAACCCAGCCCAATCTAGCTAGTTGATCAAGTCACAGTGCCCAATGTCACCAAGCCCAGCTACCTCCTAGGTGTTTCTAGGCTGTCGTCTTTATGGGAGCAGATCTCTAGGTCTTTTCTTCCATCAAGGCTCTGGGTGGGTTTGAACCCTTTTGGTTAACAGCCCTATAGCCAGGAATGGGTCTTAAGAAGTATGATACAGTTGGGCCTTCGAAAAAAGGATATGGATAAGACTGGAAGTGGGTGGGGAATAGTGGCATCTTGAACACCTTTGGGTGTTGGTGCTGTGCCAGGCACCTTACTAATGTGGTCATTCTTGATCCCAGAATGGTCCTGTAAAGATGGCAAGCAGTTTCTCAATGTCACACAGGTGTGGGCTTTCAGCTGTGTGGGCTTTCAGCTATTGCCTACCTGACAGATTCTAGATTCTGTGCTCTTTTCATTTGTTGAAATGCTAGTCATGCATGTGAAATCTAGAGGATGTATTGTTTTGCTGTTGGCTATTTCTTTCAGTAACTCCCGCAACTCTGAATTGAGGGAGGAAGTGGGGGTCCCTGGGTGACATAAACAATTCAATTCTTGATTATCAGCTGAAAATATTGGTAATTTGAGACCACCCAGAGGTATGACGGAAGAAGAAACCTGGTAGGCTGCTTCCGCAGGAGCCTGGTGCTGAGAACCATGCACAGTGCAATTCTCCTTTGCATGCGTGGGTTTGCCAGCAGTCAGAATCAACTCAATAGCAAATAGTTTGCTTTTAGTTTTTAAGACAGATGTAGACTCCAACCAAGAAACAAACTGAATTCTTATTTTTTGTTATTTCAGGGAATGGCAAATGGAGAGGGCCTTCCAGACAGCTCTGTGGTTGTTGCAGCCTGAAGTAGTGTTTATTCTTGGGGATATCTTTGATGAAGGAAAGTGGAGCTCATCCCAGGTAGGATCCTGCAGAACCAGCACCCTGATCCTGCCCAGCAAATAGCACAAGTTCATGTTGGAAGCTTTGCATAGTAGTGATATGGGTAGTGTTTGCCTTGAAGTCTTTTAGGACCTATGTCTAATGCTATTGGAGTTAGGTTGGTAACCTTTTGATGGTGTATGGAGCAAATATGCTCATTAGCTCGGCATCACTGGCTTTCCTGTGAAACTCTGGAGGATGGCAAAAAACAGCCATGATGGATACTGTCTGAGTTGTCACCAAAATGCCAGAATCCTTTAAAATAACATTTAACTTCACATTCTTTGATTTTAACATTCTGTTATGAGAATTGTTCTGTAAAAGTGGTACTTTTCTCCTGTTATTTTCTGGCTTTCTTTTGAGTGAGAGGCTTAGTGTGAAATTCCTCTCCTTTTAAGGGGTGGAGCTCCCTGGCTGGATATTATGATGACATAAGCCAGTCCACAAACCACAGAGGAAGGTGGTTCTCACCTTACTTATCAGGTTGCTCTGCTTATTACCTTCCCAGAATGAGAGGGGAATAAAAAGACCTCAATCTGCTGTTTAGGTAAAAATGTCAGCTTCCTCATTGTTTGGGGGGAAGGAGGTATTTAAAAAAAAAAAAAAATCATTGCCACTTCCCAAAACAATTCAAAAGCTCTACAAATTAGTCTTAGTTCAGATATGAAAGGGACCTACTGTTTATAGGGTTGCAGTATTTATAGGCTATAATTGAGTTGTTGTTGTTGTTAAGTGCCGTCGAGTCGGTTCCGACCCATAGCGACCCTGTACAGGGTTTCCGAGGGTGTAAATCCTTACGGGAGTAGAAAGCCTCATCTTTCTCCCGCAGAGCGGCTGGTAGTTTCGAACTGCTGACCTTAAGGCTCGCAGCCCGATTCGTAACCACTACGCTACCAGAGCTCCTTGTAAGAGATAATAAAACTCATATGCAAGAAGTTGTTGTTGTTAAGTGCCATGAGTCGGTTCCGACCCACAGCGACCCTGTATACGGTAACTGGTTGTAAAATGAAGTTGGATACTCATATTGCTTTTGTAAAATAAGGACCTTTCTGACTTCATGCTATTCTAATTTGAATACTCTAAATTGTTAAAGTGAAGTCTTTGTGCATAAATTGGATTTCCTACCCAGAATATTTCTCTAGGTTGGGTCATACTTAAAACTTTGTGGATAAAGTTAATTGCTATCCAGAATAGAGGTTTGTTTGCCTACCCTAGGTTAGACAGTATGTTTGTTATTTTTAGGCTTAATAAAATAGGAATTATGCTTACATACTTCTCAAACTTCAATAAAGATAGTGTCAGAAGAATTTTGAATTGTTTGCTGAATTTGCTTAGCTTCTTGTCCTTTGTTTTCTGCCACATTTGACCAGTTCACATCCCTATGGTCACAACCATAGGGGAGTGTGGTGTTGAAGAGTGGCCTCGTCCTTCCTTGTCTTTGTCTTGACACAAGAGGACTTTACTGAACATTGTCTAAGAGCATGTCCAGATATGAAGTGATTCTCACCCTGGGTCTGTGCACACCCTTCAGAGGGGTTTAAAATAGGTGTGTAAAACATATTTGGGGGATTACCAGTTAAAATTTTAAGATTTGGGGGATATACCATTTAATTAGTCCTCTTCACTTTCAGCGATCAAGGTTGTATCATCTGCATATCGCAGGTTGTTAATGAGTCTTCCTCCAATACTGATGCCACGTTTTTCTTCA